TTTATCATGTTTAGCTTTCATGTTTAATACCTATAATTGACGATGGTGTTTTGAGTTTCTAGAATCCTAAGTGGTCAAATTTTTGTCCTTAAGATACAGCTAAAGAAGACTACAGGGAAGTTAGATCTTTGTTTGTGAATACCTACGGTGCCTACATTTTTAACCCTAAAAAAATACTTGCTGTTATTAATAGCACAGAGTTGATGAACTGATGCTTTCTTGTACACAGAGGTGCATCAGTTCAACTAACAATGTGAGACAAACCTGACATGAGACAGCACAATGTGAAAAGACATGCTTTTCAGGTTTCACAGTAGTGCAGTAAGAACAGCTTTCAACTAAATCAAAGCAATAAATCTTGAAGCCAAAATCAGAAATGAAACAATGCCACACCAATTTAAAGAAATAAGGGCAGAGTGATGGATAGACAGACCTTAACATACAAAACTTTGTTTTCACTGCTACAATAGCTTAAAAAATCTTTAAAATAAGAGAGGAGAGTGAATTTTTCAGATGTGCAAAATACCTCTGTTTGTCTGGGGAAAATGATGTCTAATCTCATGTTATTGAGATCAGCTGGCTTTTCAGCACTGAATTCAATGAAAAGAGGAGTCTGATGTCTGCTATATGTAGAATTGCAATCATAGAAATGCCTGTGAAGAATTAGTAACAAAAGGAAAGTTCTTGGTGATTGAAGTAACACTGTGGCATTTGAATTAGTGCTTTCTAATGCCTTCAACCAGTACCAGTCTTCATAAGGGAAAGATCTAGATTTGAGAGGTAAAATTATAAACTCATTAAATAGTAAAATAGGAAATTCTCTCAAAAGAAACTCTATTGTCACAAAACTTCAATTCCTCATTTACATTATGTCAGTGCTAAATCCACCTGGTAATGGCCATTCAAATCTAAATGAGATAGAAGGCATAATGCATTTTTTAAGGACTAGCATTCATTTTCTCAAACAATGTTCTCTTTTACTTGAAATTAGGCCATGATTTCTTCACTCTACAATCAGCTAATATAAGCAACATTTATGAGTCAGTCAGATACATACTGTAAGTAGGCATTACTTCATCCAGCTGATTTATTTGAGCATAAGATTCTAAGAGATGAAGCTCTACAAAACTCCACTGAAGCATATGGTAATGTACGTTTAGAAGGATGTTAACCTGTCATCTCTTCATTTGTTGTGACGGCAATGTCAACTTTTGTTAAAAACTCATACGTGTTTGCCAACAATTCTCCAAGTGTTTTGAGGTTAACAAATCTGAATGAATTGAAAAAACAGTTCTGTATTCTTGCTTTGTGTCAGCATACAGTAAGGTCAGGTCAAACTGTTGCCATACTGAAGCACGCCTATATGGACTATGTAAATTTTCCACCTGTCTTCCCACTCAAGTTTTCTAGCATTTTCAGTGATAGCAATTGCCAACATTTTCAAGATTGATGTCTTGAGTTACATATGAATATAAACAATGTGCAAGTGTCAGACTGTGTAATTTTTCTTTGTCCCATCTGTAAAACAAGAAATAAATTTAATTTCTTATAGAAGAACAATGATGAATTTATTTAGCAGAACAACATCTTTCAGCTGTGGATCTCTTTTGCATAATGAATGAGGTCTGAAATGCAATGGTGTTAAAAAAATTCTAAAGTAAATGTAAAATTAAGAGAAATTCTTTAACAATGAAATTACAAAAGAGTACTTAAAATGGATTTAAGATGTCATTTGTTATCTCATTTCTAGCAATTTGTCACACAGCATTTTGATTCCCTTGCTTCAACACAGGGATTGATTCATAGCTTTGGATAAATCCAATACATTCTGCCTACACACCTCCATCAAATTCATTACAGTGTACTGTGAAAGTTGACTGATTAGCTTGGATGTGATTATGCCATGGAAACAGACAAATGTTTCCTTAATTTGAAAACTTATAATACTTATTTTATTAACTAATTTTAACAAGAGAATAGTATCCAAAATAAGTAAGAAATGAAAATAAACTATCACTACTTAACAACAAAGAATAACAACACAGCAGACACATATATACACAAACAGAGAGTTACATCTTTACTTTTTGGTGGCTGATGTTCAGGTACTATTATTTGCTTCTTTATCTTGTTCTGGTTGATCTAGTTGCTATTTTCAAAGAAAGCTTTCATGACTTTCTTCCACTGGTCATGCTTAGTTCCTTTCTCATAAGATACTATTGTCTGGCCAACAGATATAACACATACTATATACAGACTCGGTTTTGGTAAGATCATGGTGCTAAGGGACTGCAGTTAAGGTTGCTCCACATTATCTGAAACAAATACGGGAAGCACACAGCACAAATTAATGATGATAAGCATGTTTTTATATTAAAAAGTTTCCTCTTGTATTCTAGCAGTCTGGGATATCTGTAGCATTTTACCTATGGTGGTTTGACATTGAATTTTGGTTTTGCTGTTACATTGTGCTTTGCACACAGGGAACACAAAGCCAAAGTTACACATCAAAATACCCTAACAATTGAAAACTATCATCAAGTGGCAACTGGGAATTCACTGTGAACATCAGCAAAAAATAATGCCATTGAGAAACAACTCTACTAGGATGTGTTATAAACTTTGATGATATTAGGCTGAAAACTATGCTAAATTTATGTTTTTATGTTTGTATTTGTTGAAAGTGTTTAGTGATTGTCAGCAGAAATAACATGTAAAATATTGAAAACCACTGTCATATCTTAACTTTTTGAATACCTTAATTATTTAATTTTATTTAAAAGGTAAACTTTATCCTGGCACACATACTTCTTACTAACAGTGAGTTTGGAAAGCAGCAAGGGAGAAGAATATGCAAATTCTTTTCAAGGTTTTGATGTTTGCATTAAGTTCTGGTCCCAGATATATTTTTTTTAGGATTCTGACTGAAATTGTATGCATTTTAGACTGGCTGAGGTTTCCTTTTAACTGTCTCTGACTGGCATATTACTAATATGAATGTGTATTTCACGTTGTGCTTCTGTGATATCTAAGTTCCAACAGATTTGTTCCAAAAACTTAAGCATTTCTGTATTATCTGGCATTATTTCAGTTTTATTGAAACTTAAGAAAATGCTAGGTAAACCAGAACTACATCTTGCAACAACAATATTATCTGTTAAATAATGTTCATTTTGATAGGTTCATCTACTATTAGTTACTATAATGTATTAGTTACTATAAGCCCTATAACATTTACTGCAAAATCTCTATAATCTATCTCAGACTTAAAATTTGTGTGCATGTGAGTATTAAGAAAAGTGAAACTTATTAAGCTATCCAAAAACTAAAGAGGATCTTTGTATTTATGTACTCTTTATTTGATAATTTAACTACAAAACTTTCTAAAAACAGTTACATCCTGGCTTTCCAAGACCAACACAATGAAACATCTTTTGAGTTTTGGTATCTCTTTATTTACATATTTATTATATGAGCTATTATATAAATAGTACTAATAAAGAAATATTATTATGCTGTGTATGTACCAAATCATGGAAAATTACTGTTCAAAATCCAAGAAATAAATATAAAAAATGTAAATACGATTTAAAAGAGCAATGCAAATGAACAACTGAAATTTTTTATGGGAGGAGAAAAAGACACTGAAACTGGTATTCCTGGAAAAGATAGTTCTCTGCATTTCTTGTTATAATGTTCATTCTAATAATGCGTGCTATAAGAATAGATTTATGGTCTTTGAGGAAAGTCTAATCTCCTTTTCTCTCATTTTATGATTGCATCTAATATTTTAAGTGTTATTTTTGCACAGCACCCCATAAATTTTGGAAAATATATAGTAAAATCAGGTGGCTTCCTGGTGTATTGTAATTGCAACACTAAGTAAAGGGATGAAAGTCCCTACTTCTTTCATACTTTCCAAAACACACAAAATCAATGGAGAAGGTGTGTTGTTTTTCAGCAATCCTGCCTTAAGTCAGAGCAGCCCTGTGGAGAAGGACTTGGGGGTTGCTGGTCGATGAGAAAATGAACATGAGCTGTCAGAAAGCCAACCGTATCCTGGGCTGCATCAAAAGGAGCGTGACCAGCAGGTCGAAGGAGGTGATCCTGCCCCTCTACTCTGCTCTTGTGGGACCTCACCTGGAGTATTGTGTGCAGTTCTGGTGTCCTCAACATAAAAAGGACATGGAACTGTTGGAACAAGTCCAGAGGAGGGCCACAAGGATGATCAGGAGACTGGAGCACCTCCTGTATGAAGACAGGCTGAGAAAGTTGGGGCTGTTCAGCCTGGAGAAGAGAAGGCTGCGTGGAGACCTCATAGCAGCCTTCCAGTATCTGAAAGGGGCCTATAGGAAAGCTGGAGAGGGACTCTTCACTAGAGACTGTAGCGATAGGACAAGGGGTAACGGGTTAAAACTTAAACAGAGGAAGTTTAGATTGGATATAAGGAGGAAGTTCTGTACTGTCAGATTCTGTCGGGGAGAGTTTGACCACTTTTTAATTTACAAGTCTTACACTGTTTTAACCCAAAGCAGAAAATATTTTCATCAACTGAAATGTGGGTTTTTCCCCTATAGCGTAGGGGGGGATAGTACAGTACAGTATAGACAATACACTACTTGACTACCCAGATTTTCAGTGTCAAAGAAAATGAATTGTGTTTTCAAGAAAATCCCAAAATTTCTCTTCAGCAATAAGGGACTACAATAACAGATGTTGTAATTATGTAGAAAATCATTTCTATTCCATATTGCCTACCATACCACTAAGCTATATTTTCAAATATATCTGCATGATACTCATTCAAAATCAGACTATGTACTGGGTCAGATGAAGTGTGATTTTGGAAGGTAAACGCTTTATTTACTGGTAATGGAATGAAGGTCTCAAAAAGAGTAGACTAATAAAGACTTAGCTAGTGTGAAAGCTGATTTACACATGCATGTTCTCTTAGAACTCCTGGTGAGCTGTTTGTCAGTGTCTCTGGTCCAGATGATGAGACAGGCCCTGACTTACACTAGCTGTGATTCTTCCCATATGTTTGATTTGCTTCTGTCTGTTGAGCCTTAACCCTTCTCACACCCATAGACCTGTGGAAATTGCATCTTTCACTGAAGTTTTATTGTGAGATATGAAATGAGTTTCTTTTTATCTTGTAGATGAAATTTTGTGCTTTGCCTTCAATAACATTTGAGAAATCCTGTATACAAGCTTGCATTACGTACTGTGTCCTTTGCTGTGGACTAGCTAAATTTAGATATCCACCTGTAAGTGTCTGTGTAGAAGTATCAGGTTTACATGTCGAGGTTTTGGTAGTATGGGGACTTAAGAATGGATTTTCTGAGAAGAGAGCAGAAGCTGTTCCCAAGTCAGACAGCTAGTGTAGGGGAGGAAGTGTTCCTGGCACTGGAGCAGAGATTCCCCTGCAGGTGATGATCACAGGGAAGCACATTGTCCCCCCTGCAGTCCATTAGGACTCCATGCTGGAGCAGGTGGGTGTGCCCAGAAGACGGCTGTGACCTGTGAGAAGCCCACAGTGCAGCAGGTTCCTGGCAGCAGGTTCCTGTGACCCTGTGCCCATTCACCCAAATGTCAACCCACAGCAACAGAAGGCAGGCAACTCTGCTGCCATTATAGTTGCTGGAGCTCTATAAACTCAGTGAAACCCATGGAAAGGTTTGGCAAACCAGGCATGAGCAGGGCAATTCACTTGTCATGCATAGGCATCTAGGGCCTTTGGAAATACTCTAAGTATCTGATGTCTGGTTACCGCTCCAGTAGGGTATGGCTCCTCTAAGTTTCTGCCATGTATGTTGGCCTTATCTAGAGGTCTGAGATGACTAAAAGCACCACAGATAGTATTAGCTAGCTATGTGTGGGTGGCTGAATTGAGAGCCCCTGGATGTTTGGAGGATTCAGGATGACATGAATGTCTGTCCCTATAGTCTTCATTGATTTTAATGATCAGATCTTCACTAGGTACAATGGAAAACTAGACACATAGCTCATGAATGAACAGATAAATGTAGATGCCACATTTACGTGTTTTTATCTCATGTATTTTATTTATCCCATCTGAAATCCATCCTTAATATTGTCAGACTAATGAAACAGTCTCTTTAATTCATGACTGTCACTATGGCACTGTATTTCAAATATAGTATCTATAACTTGCTGAAAATACACTTAGATTTGGGACATTACCTGAAATCACAGGTAACAACCAGTATTTCCTTGTAACTGTCATTATTTTGGCATTAACAGCCTGGAAAACATTGATTGATAAGATAGGCAGGACAAAAACAAGTTGTCCAAGCAAGAAAACTAGGCAACTTCTTACAGTTACACAATGTAAGAACAGCTAAGTAGTAAACAATTTTGAGCATTTCATGTGTATATTCCCAACAGCTTTCTGAATGCATTATGTTTTGCATCACTGTGTTTTGCAGAAAAAAATACATGTCATAATGCTATATTTTTGCAATTTCAGAAAAAAACCCTTTATTCCTGATTAGAAAAAGTAAGTTGAAATCTCTTCCACATTATTCCATTGTTCAGCAGAAATTTTGTATTGGGATTTCTGATAGACTATGATCATAAAGTATATATAGTACTAGATTTTCCCCATCAACATTCATTTTAATGTTAATTAACATCTTAATGTTAATTTTAATGTTAATTACAGTATTAGGAATATGAGACTCTAAAAATAATTCTCGTTGATTTTTGTCTCTGCAGTTATTTTTGTCTTTTATCATGCTTTCACTGTTCAACACTTGCTTTTTCTATGACCAGTTTCCCTGCCCTCTTCTACTAATCAGCTATTCCACTGTGTATATTAGACCACTAGAGAACTATTCTTTCATACTAGTCTGTGGGAATTCTCCAAAATTAGCACCGTTTAAGTTTCACACATCTGTAGTTGTAGCCTCTCATGTCCTCCAGGTGTGTCAGTCTAAAAGTAACCCATGGTGTCAGTAAAGACCTAATTTCCAATGAATAACTTATGTTTTATACATTCAACATTGCTATAAGGTCAGTGTTTGCCAGGATGGGTAATCTGGAGGTGGAGGAGAGATGCTTTGTCTAAAGCTGTGGGCCATGAGTGCTTCAGTCTGATTTCAGCCCTGATCCTGTCTCACTGACTTGAATCTCTGCCTTGACCTCATTCCTGACTTGTCACTATAGATGCACCTGGCAGGATGGCCTATGGCTGATTCAGGTCACTGCTGCCAACCTGCTCTCCTCTTTGCTGCTCAAGTCCTGTGACATCATGCCCTTGTCAGAGAGGCCCATACCTTGCCCCTTTCAGCTATCCTTACAGAGCATCAGCCCTTGTTGCTCCCGGATAAAGGCAATGACTGTGCTTCTAATCCCACAAGGCCATTCTCTTTCATGTTACTGGATGAGCATGCAAAATTCTTTATAACAGTTGTGTGCATATGCTCAGTCACATTCTTGATACCCAGAAAGTACTAACGCTAAAAGAGGGTTGCTCTTATCCAAGAAACCAAAGGAGAAGAGTGGTATTCAGACTATGTCTGGATAAAAAATACCATAAACACAATATTTTTTGATAAACAAACCCACTAAATTCATATAATAGTTCAGTGAAGAAAGGAGCACAAGTGGCTCTTACATTGAAGAAAAAAAGGGAATGACAATTCTGTGAGATAGCTTCCTCATTTCACCAGTTTCTCTGAATTGATACAGCGAAGATAAGCTCTGTGAAAGATCACCTCTTGTCAAACAGCAAGGTTTTGTGCCTTTTGTGCTCCCCTTCAAAACAGATATAATTTATAATGAAAAAAAAGTTATTACCATTTTGAGCAACCTTGTCTAATACTGACCACTTTAACAACAAGGAAGAGGGAAACATCAATTTTTCTTCTCATGCATCCTAAACATTAATGTATAGCTTCAAGAGAGTTAATCTTTCCATTTTTTTTGTTCTTGACAGACCTGCAGTCTTTCTAAGGAAAGATGTATTGAAACCTCAGCCAAGAAAAATGAGTAATTTCTTTTCCATGGAAGGGGAATGAGCAATCTATCCAGATAGTTTCAAGAAACAAAGATGAATAATGAAATTAATAGTTAATTCATTAAAAAGTGCAATGTTGAGGTCACCAAAATTTCACTGTTACTTGAAATCACTTTTTAATAGAGATTGTTTTGAAAAGCTTACATTTTGATTTTGATCCTTTAAAACAGCATTTTCAGCTTTTCATTTCAGCATTGAATTCAGGATTTGTTAGTTTTGATAAAAAATGTAAGAACTGATTATAAGTAATAACTTCACGTTAAAATAAATGATTTTTCTTTCTAAATTTGTTAAGGAACAAAAAAAAAACATTTAATACCAACCATAGTTTTCTCTTAATATATCTGAAGTCAAAGAAAACAATGTAAATATGTAAATATCTCACCAAGAAATGCTGTATTACATTTAGGTGTATAATAAAAAAGCTTTCATTTAGATGTATAATAATAAATGCTTTCATTTCTCAAAAATGCTGATAATTTCAAATAAGAAAATAATGACTGAAATAGACAAATACATACAACCAAATATCAATGTAAAAATAAATCACATTGATTCCATCTTACTAAAGTAATTTTCTCATATAGTTTTTATTAAAAAATATGTTCATGTACAGAAAAAAAGGAGCAGATAAAGGTTATTAATTTAGCAGAAAATTAAGTTGTCAGTAAAATGATATCTTCAGCAATAAGGCTTTGGAGAAAAATAAAAATTTGCTTATACACCTATTTCAGAATCATTGGTAATAATTTAGAATTGCTGATGTTTGTACAAAAATGTAGCTGATATTTCTGGAACATGACGGGAAGATTTCTTTAGCTATAATGTTAAAATGAGTAGGTTTCAATCCATTTAATAAGGGTCAAATTTACAAGAGGAGGAAAGGGAGTTAATGTGTTTTTACCTTTTTTTTCTGAATCTAGGACAATTTGGAAGTAAACGATCTTGCTGGCCTTGAGAGTAGTCTTCTCACTAATAGAGAAGATGAGGTACTCCCCTATGTCAGCTGAAGATACCCAAAGCACAACAGGGAGAATGAGATACATGGTCAAACATGGATATAAAATATGATTTAAAATAATAATAATAAAAAAATACCCAAAACTCAACACATAGAAAAAAATACCAACCTCCCCCCCCAGTCTCCAGTATGAACATAGTAAGAAGAGTTCTTTTTAATTTCAACAAAATATTAACAGCAAAATCATTTCTTTAAGTTATTAGTGGCAGTTTTCTAGCCTTTAAAATATAACTTTCCAAGTGAATAAATTCTAGGTTAGTTGTTTTGGTTTTGTTTTTTTTTTTAGAGATACTTGAGAACTAATTCACGCCTAAAGATTAATGGTGATTACTGAAAGTGATCATGATTTGATTATGCCTGTGTGGAAACCAGTAACACACATTCTCTGGTGCATACCAGGAGCCAGTTTCACATGTATACAGATAATTATGTGCTTAGTCAGATGGTAAATAGAAACTAAAAAGAAAAATGTGAATAATTATTGGGAACTGCTTAAGAACACTTACCACTTCCTTAAAATACATAGTTGCCTAAAGGTTTGCAGATTATTTACAATGCTTTGCAGAGAATGAACATCTGTACATATATTCCAAACAAAATACTGAATTGTTCACTCTAGTAATATCTTTGGAATTTAACCTACATTTGTCCATTTTCAGCTTTCATGCTTAGTGTTTCTTCCAATACTTTCTGCTAGGTTAAAAAGTTATTCTTATGTGTCTTTTCCCCCAAAATGGTGATCTAATTACCCAGTCCTGTTCTTGTTGAACTAATCAGTTGAGCTCCTCATGTTTTTCATTCTAAGGCTTTGTTTAACTCTTTAATATGCCTTGTTGCATTCTAAATCCTCCAGTTTTCTACCACGTTCTTTAACAAGAGAAATGTAATTCACTTGGTCACCAGTAATAGTAGAATTAATACATGCAGGAATCACATTAACCTTTTAGGCTGAGGTACCACACATTCAGAAGATCATCCATTAGTATTTTTAAGTCTTTTACATCATATGTGCTTTCCTATGAAAGTTTTCTGTCTGCAGCTATGACAGATATTCGAACATTTGTCCGCATTGAAACTTGTAAATTTTTACATGTGCTTGAATCCACATTAAGTAAATCAGTTTTTCAAATAATTTGCCTTTTTCCATATCAACCTGACTTTCTCATAGCCAAAGATTCCTATTTACTGCTATCTGTGGATGGTAAAAGTTGGCAATGATTTTGTTTTTCCAACAAGACCTGACATATATTTTAAATTATAGTTCAATTTTTTTTTCCTTATAGGATCTCCACAGAAGTTCAACTAGCTGGTCAAGATTTATTATTTTTAATTATTTTTTGAAATTTACTGTTTTAAGCAGTAAATTCTGTTTAAGCACCACACTAATTTTGCATCACTCAAGTTTCTTAACCCTAAGGTGTGTGGCACCAAGTCATGCATTGCAGAAAAGTATTGCATTAGCATTTGTGCAGCTGTCAGTTTAGCTCATATTCTCATAAAAGTAAAGCGAAGTTAGTTTGGCAAGACCTATTTCTCAAAACTATGTTGGGAGTAACATTCATTACATTAACATCTTTTTTCAAGAGTACAGTTTGAATCAGCCAGCTGTTCCGTTTTTGAAGCTACACAGCAATCATAGTGAACAATTTTTGAGATGGGCTGGACGTGTTTCAAAAATGCATATTATTTTCAAATGCTGTGACTAAACAGGAGTCTTCATCCGTGGAAGTCCTGGCTCCTGGTGTGTGAGATTAGACTAGACAATTAAAGTTACTTTTCATTTGGTAAAAAGAAATAGTTAAAAACCAGTCTCAGTCTGTGGAACAGTCTATGAAACAGTTTAAAATCTCTGATTATACAACAAAAAGCCACCACATCAGGATACACTGAACATGCAAACTGTCATTGCTGAATCAAATCAGTAGTTAGTGACCATAGGAAGAAGACTCCTCCTGGCAAATAGTTCCTCAAAATCCAAGCCAGAGGAGCTTTAAAAAAAATAGAATTTACAGCTGATTTTCAATGGGCCTCGTATCATGACTACACCAGCTGTCTTAATTCAAATGTGCTACAATCAAATTAAGTGACCTTTATTAAGCAATGCAAAAAAAAAGTCTTTGACAGGAGGTGAAAAACAGCGGTTTGCAACTCCTTCTCTGGATTTTCCCTTGGCAAGATACACAGACCAGAGGCATAAAGCAAGGCAATAAGTAAGTACAGTCTAGTGTTTACATGACTCCTGGCTAAATGCAACTCCATGGGTGTGATTGGAAATTCACGTGTTTTCGTTCCTGGTTAAGACTGGTTGTGCTGCTGGCAGCTGAACACCCCTCATCTCCACTTTGTATGTCAGCATCAAGGCTGCACAGGTTAAGAAGACTTCAAATGCCTGTTGGGTGCTGTGCATACTGATTAGGTGCACTTTGACAGCAGCAAGCCATTGCCTCTCTTCAATGTTTTGGACTGTACCATATGACCTGAATAATTACGCAGTAATTTCTATCATTAAAGACATTCTTTTCTATCCATATCCTTTTGCATTTCATCAGTGGTTAGAGTGGTGCAATTGTCATTCTGAGTTAATTCAGTGCTATGCTACTCTTTGGTCCCAATATATTAGGTAATTACTTGTTGTGGTTTAAACCCAGTCAGGTAATTCGTTCGCTCACTTCCCCCCCTTTCTTGCCCTCCCCCTGCTCTCGGAGGGACGGAGAGGAGAATCAAAAGAATGCAACTCCCACGGGTTGAGATAAGAACAGTTTAGTAACTAAGGTATAACACAAATCACTACTGCTACCACCAATGATAATAATGATAAAGGAAATAACAAGGGAACAGAATACAACACCTCACCACCCGCTGACCGATAACTCGCCCCCCAAGCCCGACCAAGCTCCGACCGATACCTCCTCCAACCCTGCAGTCTCCCAGCCCTTCCGGCTAACTCCCAGTTACATCCTGGGCATGACGTGCTGTGGTATGGAATACCTCTTTGGTCAGTTTGGGTCAGGTGTCCTGTCTCTGCTTCCTCCTGGCTTCCCCTCCTCCCTGGCAGAGCATGAGGCTCACAAAGTCCTTGGCCAAACCAAAACATCTCTATCAGCTCTGTTCCCAAGCTGAAAGTCAAAACACTGCAC